AATTCAATTCAATTTCAATTGTTTATTCCTTGATAGAGGAAGCGGGATCCTAGTGCTGTCACTAGGTACCCCTGTTCAATGACACCAGAAGCATCTGGCAAGTGTCACAAGTATATATAAATATTATAAAGGGGCTTACTAAAGCCTAAGGAAGGAAGGAAGGATATTCCTTTAACACATAATCAATATTATTTACAAAATATCTGGCGAGTATGGGGAGGACCATCGTGTCTCCGTCAGGGGGTCGTGGAGTGGTGGTCCAGCAGGTGTCACGGAAGCGTTGTGTGTGGGGACATCTTAGGAGGTAGTGGATAAGGGTGCTGCTGTCGGGTCTTCTGCATAATGCACAAGAACGTTGCTCAGGGGATGCGGGGATACCAATCTCCCAAGCAAAGACATACCCAATAGAGTGTGTCATAGGAGGGAAGATCAGCTAAAACTAATGGCCCATGACTTTTTTGGTAGATTTTAGTGTATATAAACAGAAAATAATTTCAGTTTCAATATTTTGCAACCTTTTGCTAGGTAAATTTTAGCGTGAAATTTATCGAAAATCTAACGCACAGCTGCATTAGTGCATTACAATTAAATAGTGAACATTGCTTTCTGACTTCATTCTTTAACAACCCAACTAACAATATTTTTTTCTGTTTCAGATTCTGATGCATTTATAAGTTGATAATATTTGCGATGGCTGCTTGTGTCAGGACGAGGAACCAAAAATCCAGCCATCTCAGTCACTATCTTGGGTCTGGGAGAGAGCTCCTGAAGTCGGAGTTGCCTACATTGAGAGATGCTTTGAGATACAGTGTTTTAATCAGGCAAATCAGTGAAAAGAACCAAAGAACTTACACAAACAAAGACATTGCCAGTGGTATGACCAAAGCTGTCTTGGCACAGTACACTCTGGCTAACGCTCAGTTCAAGCCTCCAGTCATAACAAGTCAGAAGAAGATTAGTGAGAGACTGCTAGCCAGTTGGGAAAAGGCAAGAGATATCTCTCTTAGGAGAGGAAAACTTGCAGTTAAGGACAGCTTTGCCAAGCAACTGGACCAGTTATTTGACATAATTACTTGCAAGTGCCCAATTGTTCTCTGTCCTGAGTTTGGATGCGATCGTGACTGTAAATCCGAGGCCCACATCTCCTGTATTTGCAAGCGTGAACTGAAGATTCCTGTGATCGAACTGGCATTTGTCAAAGCACAGAGAGAGAAGACTGGCAGTATAGGGGCTCTCATGATTTCTAGCCAAGATATTCCGGAGTCCAAGAGACAGGAGGCTGCCACAGAGAGACAGAAGAGGAGAAGAGTTGCCGAGGAAAAGAGACTTGAGAAGGCCCAGGGTGAGGTAAAAAAGGCCGATGATTGGAGTCAAGCTGATTCAGAGTTTAATGACTTCCCCATGGCTGATCCGAGTGCTGACCAGGAGAATGGTGACTTTGTCCCTAACCCAGAAAATAATGATCCCAAACCTTCCAGGCATAAGATTCGAAATAGGAAAGATATCCCGAGCATAGCTCTGGCCAGCATGCGACACCACACTGGTCTCAGAGAAACTGCAGAGATAGCAACAGCTGCCTGGGTTGACGGTGGTTTGATAACACCTGATGATGTTCACCTGGTGATAGATCATAACAAAGTAAGGAGAGCTCAGGAGAAACTTGTCAGTAACCTAGAAGAGGAGTTTGATAAGGGGATAAGAGAAAATGGAATCAATTGTTTGTTCTTTGATGGGAGAAGGGATGACACTAAAGTGTTCATGAAAGTTGGAGATTCTGACAAGTTGTTCCCTGCCATGGTGAAGGAGGAACACTACTCCTGCTGCAGTGAACCAGGAGGGAAGTATTTGTGGCATTTCACTCAGAGAAAGATGACATCAGGAAACCAGCTGAGATAGTGGCAGATAACATTGTGAACTGGCTCAGAGAGAGGAACGTAGACCAGACCCTGCAGGCCATTGGAGGGGACAGCACCAACACGAACACAGGGTGGCAAGGGGGGGTCATACAGTGGATAGAGCGGAAGATTGGGAGGAAGCTGGTCTGGATTGTTTGTGACCTCCACACCAACGAGTTGCCACTCAGACATCTGATCCAGGAGCTGGATGGCAAGACTCTTTCAAACAACAGATGGTCTGGTCCTCTTGGCAAGATGCTGGACTCTGCCACTGAGTTAGAAATAAATCCGAGCTTTGAAAAAATCACAGTTGGCCCTCCACTCGTTGAGCTGGCACATACTGTCATTGACGACCTGAGTACTGACCAGTACTATGGTTACATGATTTGCAGTGCCATCAAAACTGGGGTCATGCCTGATAGACTTGCTTACCTGCAGATAAGTCCAGTCTCACATTCTAGGTGGCTCACAACGGCTCTCAGGTTCTGCAGAATTTGGGTCGCTCATCATAAACTGAAAGGGAACCAGCTTCACAACCTGAGACTTATTGTCCAATTCATCGTGAGTGTCTACTTGCCAAATTGGTTCAACACCAAGGTCAAGTCATCGTTCTCCGAAGGTCAGAGGCATGTTCTCTTCTAGCTTGAGCTCCTGAGGAGTCAGCCAAGGAAGGTTGTTCAGATTGTGAAGCAGACTGTGAGGAGATCTTCCTGGTATGCTCATCCCGAGGCAGTTCTGCAGACAATGCTCTGCAGTAAGGATGAGGAGGAGAGAAGAGTGGCAGTCAAAAAGATCTTGGATATGAGACTTATGAGAGGATCTGGGCATGACGAATCAGTTGGTGACGATTCCTTCAGGGTCAGGAAGACTCCTGAAGTCAATCTAGGTGCCAAGACCCTCACTGATCTCATAGATCTGGATAACATCCAGGCTGGCAGTGAGCCCCTCTACCTGCAGCCTCACCAATGTTCAAGTCAGAGCTTTCCTGGACAACCCCATGCATGTCCCTGCCTGGCCCTCGCACACCCAGAGTATAGAGCGTTGTGTACAGCAAGTGAGCGAGGCCAGCAGTCACGTGTACAGCCAGGAGAGGAGGGAAGGCTACATCCGAGCTCAGGTGGTCAGCAGGGAGGTGATGAGTAGAAACAGAAGCAAGAAAGACATGTTCTCTATGGTGTGCAGCAACACCGGTCGTAGTAGTAAAACCGGTTTTGTATTTGATTGATTTTGTTTTCTAAAGGAATATTAAATTTAATAAATGTGTCAAGATCATTCGTTTCACTATTCTGGATAATTTTCATCCTAATAAATTAACCTGATACATTTACTTTACTTTAAATAAGCTATTTAGTGGTGTTGGTAAAAGGGTGGGAATACTGAATTTTCATAAGATTTCAAGTTAAAATTTACCTAACAAAAAATGAAAACTTTTCAAATCTGAAGATATCACATGATTCTGCACATACAACTACATCATTAATACCATGGGCCGATTTTTCAAACTCAAAAAAAAAAATTCGCCTCCGTATGACACACCCTAATACCCAATGATGATTCGGGCAGCAATCACGTCCCCTTTCCGCGACCCTTTCCCGTAGACTGGGGCTGTCCAGAGATACAGTACTTCCGATACGTGGTGGTGGTGGTATTGATGGCGGTGGTGATGGTGGTGGTGATGGAGATGGTGGTGGTGGTGGTATTGATGGCGGTGGTGATGGTGGTGGTGATGGTGGTGGAGATGGTGGTGGTGTTGATGGCGGTGGTGGTGGTGATGGTGGTGGTGCCGGCGGTGGTGGTGGTGGTGATGGTGGGCGACCATAACAGACTGCACAGACAATAACAACAGGATAACCTTATTACAACAGCATGTAGATGACGGTACTACAACAGCCACTACAACATCTGGCAAAAGCCACAACAACAGACACTACAACATCCGGCAAAAACAACAACAACAGACACTACAACATCCGGCAAAAACCTGAACCTGCAACATCCGGCAAAAGTCACAACAGACACTACAACATCCGGCAAAAAAAAACAACAACAGACACTACAACATCCGGCAAAAGCCACAACAACAGACACTACAACATCCGACAAAAACCACAAGACACTACAACATCCGACAAAAGCCACAACAACAGGCACTACAACATCCGACAAAAGCCACAACAACAGGCACTACAACATCCGACAAAAGCCACAACAGCATCCGGCAAAAGCCACAGCAAGAGCAGGGCGTCAGAGCCAGGGTCCGCTACAACACCAATAACAATATATTTCTTTAACCAAACTAAAACAGCTCAGCCAGCTCCACCAGGGACGTGTAGGGCGTCTCTGTCTCCAGTACGACGAGGACGATGATGAAGGAGATGGGGTATAAAGAGGGGAAAAGGAAAAGGGAGAAAGTAAACAAGAACGAAGAGGAGGAAGAAATGAAGGAGGACAAGGAGAATAAACGGAAGGAGGAAGACGGGGAAGGATGACAGTGAGTAAGGCAACACAAAGCTGACGATGGCGTGGCGAATGATTGAGGTTGTGGTGGTGGTGGTAGTGGTAATGTAGTTGGAAATGATGGTATAGAAAATGATGTGGGTAGTGGTGGCAGGGCAGGGCAGGGCAGGGCAGCACAGCACATGGACCTACACCCCCCCCCACCTCACGGTCACCGCCTGCCAGATGGGAAACGCCATCACCCCTTCTACCACTACCCCCGCCCTAATGACACATCTTTACTGCCCCCCCTTACATCCCACCTGCTGCCACCACTGACACCACCAACATCCTCCTCCACCACCTGCTGCTACCAATAACACGAAGTTTGGCGGCCACCACCACTGCTACTAACATTAGGTTTGGCCACTACCAACACCAATCACCAACAGTAACTTTAGCCACCACCACCACTACTACTACTACTATTACTAACAATAAGTTTGGCCACTACCACTACCACCACTACTAACAATAAGTTTGGCCACCACCAGACTGAAACAATTTTCGGGAGGATATTAAAGTCGAGCCGTTTATCTTGGGGTCCTCTCCTCGACCACCACCAGGCGGCTCCAAGCCCGGCTCGTCCCAAGTCCTGTTTTTACGTCAATGGTCTTAAAAAGCCCTGTTACTCCCCAGTCCACACAATTATTAGCCCAACTGGTCCCATACCCAGCAGGTCCCACGTCCAGCTGGTCCCATACCCAGCAGGTCCCACGTCCAGCTGGTCCCACACCCAGCAGGTCCCACGTCCAGCTGGTCCCACGTCCAGCAGGTCCCACGTCCAGCAGGTCCCACGTCCAGCTGGTCCCACGTCCAGCTGGTCCCACGTCCAGATGGCCCCACGTCCAGCATGCCCCACCGTCCAGCTGGTCCCACGCCAAGCAAGTCCCACGTCCAGCAGGTCCCACGTCCAGCAGGTCCCACGTCCAGCTGGTCCCATACCCAGCAGGTCCCACGTCCAGCAGGTACCACGTCCAGCTGGTCCCCATGCCCAGCAGGGTCCCACGTCCAGCACGGCAGGTCCCACGTCCAGCAGGTCCACGCCCAGCAGGAACCATACCCAGCAGGTGGTGCCACGTCCAGCAGGTCCCACGTCCAGCAGGTCACGTCACGTCCAGCAGGTCCCACATCCAGTTGGTCCCCAGCAGGTCCCACTTCCTGCTGGTCCACACGGCAGGTCCACGCCCAGCAGGTGCCACGTCCAGCAGGTCCCACGCCCAGCAGGTACCATGCCCAGCAGGTCCCGTCCTTGGGTCCCACGTCCAGCAGGTCCCATACCCAGCAGGTCTCATACCAAGGAAGTCCCACATCCAGCTGGTCCCACTTTCTGCTGGTCCCACGCCCAGCAGGTCCCACGCCCAGCAGGTCCCACTTCCTGCTGGTCCCATACCCAGCAAGTCCCACATTCAACTGGTTCCATACCCAGCAGGTCCCACTTCCTGCTGGTCCCACGCCCAGCAGGTTCCACGCCCAGCAGGTGCCACGTCCAGCAGGTCCCACGCCCAGCAGGTACCATACCCAGCAGGTCCCACGTCCAGCAGGTCCCACGTCCAGCAGGTCCCATACCCAGCAGGTCCCATACCCAGCAAGTCCCACATCCAGCTGGTCCCACGCCCAGCAGGTCCCACGCCCAGCAGGTCCCACGCCCAGCAGGTCCCACTTCCTGCTGGTCCCATACCCAGCAAGCCCCACATCCAGCTGGTCCCATACCCAGCTGGTCCCACTTCCTGCTGGTCCCACGCCCAGCAGGTCCCACGCCCAGCAGGTCCCACGTCCAGCTGATCCCACGCCCTGGTGACCTCAAACCTCGTTGATCCCGAGTTCTCCTCAGGTCAGATAACGTGAAGACTTGCATACGTCAGCGTCGTAACACACGGGGCAAGAGTCCACCATAACGCCGAGGCTTAATGCTCCTCCAACACCTTGCTGGCTGTAAATCTTGAGGACCTTGGTGACAGAGCTGGTGAAGTCCCTCGCCGCCCCACAACACAGTCCCCCGCCGCCCCACAACACAGTCCCTCGCTGCCCCCACAACACAGTCCCTCGCTGCCCCCACAACACAGTCTCCCGCAGCCCCACTGCCCACAGTCCCTCGTCGCCCCCACAACACAGTCCCTCATACGCCCCACAACACAGTCCCTCGCCCCATAACACAATCAGAGGTCCTTAACTTTGAGAGCCAAGACATTTAATACTAGTTATCACACACACACACACACACACACACACACACACACACACACACACACACACACACACACACACACACACACACACACACACACACACACACACACACACACACACACACACACACACACACACACACACACACACACACACACACACACACACACACACACACACACACACTTCACTCTAACCTCTAGCCTAGTATGACACCATAGTACCTCTCATTTTCAGTCATCTGCCGTAGTTTATTTCACACTAACAACACCTGAATGGAATCAAAGCATCCACTCCCCTGTGCTAGCGAGGGTATTAATACATATAAAAAAAATAGTGCAATAAACTCTCAATACGCGAACTTCGGGGAAGATAGTAACACAACGCTCCGCCATGTTTATCAAGCAGCAGCACCACCACCAACCCTGAGATAACAAACTGACGTCACCTTCTTAAAGCGAGAGAACATGAAGGCAGAAAGAGCGAGGGAAAATGAAGGCAAAAATAAATAAGAGCTTGGGGAAATAAAAACACAAAAAAAACGAAAATATGAAGGTAGAAAAGGACGGAGGAAAGATGCGGGTCGGAAAAAAGAGTGCCGGGGAAATTCTGAGTGAAAGACAACACGGGAACAAGAGTACGGAAAATAAAAACAAATACACCTAAAATGCATTAAAAAAACATAGGTAGGAACAAGACTCCAGCACTCAACTATTCACCTGTCCTCTTATGTTACCTTTATGACGTGGAAACATAAAAACATTGTTAATAAAAGGAAATTGAATCACCTGAAGAATCTCCATCCCACCTTAATGAACCTAAAAGCTTAACCACCCTATAACTATCGGGGGGGAGGGGGATGAGATTAGGTTAGGTTAGGTTAGCTGGTTATGTTAGCTAAAAAAAGGTGAGTGGGTCCCATAGGCATGACTGCCCGTTAGGGTGGACACAACACACAGTATACCAAGCCTTCGGTACACAAGGAGGCAGCTTGGCCGATACTGCACTCGACCGCCTTCACGTCCCAACTCCTGAAGGTTTTGTCTTGAGGTCTCAGAGTTGTGGTTAAAATTATGTAAAGAAACTAATACAAACGTCGTTTCTGAAAGAATTTAACCGTTTGTCCCTATCATATCAGAGGTAGTTCTTGGGGCCCAGGTTTGTTTTTCCTTTTTTTTATAAGTTCAGTTTCTTGTATAAACAGGGAGGGCTAGGAAGGGTATGGAGGGCTAGGAAGGGTATGGAGGGCTAGGAAGGGTATGGGGGGCTAGGAAGGGGTATGGGGGCTGGGAAAGAGGTATGGAGGGGGCTAGGAAGGGTATGGAGGGCTGGGAAGAGGTATGGAGGGCTAGGAAGGGTATGGAGGCTAGGAGAGGTGTGGGGGGCTAGGAAGGGGGTATGGGGGCTGGGAAGGGGTGTGGGGGCTAGGGAGAGGGTATGGAGGGGCTAGGAAGGGTGTGGGTGCTGGGAAGGGTATGGAGTGCTAGGAAGGTATGGAGGGCTAGGAAGGGTATGGAGGGCTGGGAAGGGGTATGGAGGGCTGGGAAGGGTATGGGGGCTAGGGAAGGGTATGGAGGGGGCTAGGAAGAGGAGTATGGGGGGCTAGGAAGAAGGGTATGGGGGGCTAGGGAAGGGTATGGGGGGGGCTGGGGAAGGGTGTATGGAGACTGGGAAGGGGTATGGGCTAGGGAAGGTGTTGTGGGGGGGGCTAGGAAGGTGTGGGGTGGCTGGGGTATGGGGCTGGAAGATGTGGGGCTGGAAGGGGGTATGGGGCTGGAAGGGTATGAGGGGGCTAGGAAAGGGGGTATGGGAGGCTAGGAAAGGTATGGGGGGGCTAGGAAGGGTATGGGGGGCTAGGGAGGGTATGGGGGGCTAGAAGGGTATGGAGGGCTAGGAAGGGTGGGGGCCTAGGAGGGAAGAGGGGTATGGGGGGGCTAGGGAAGGGGTATGGGGGGGCTAGGAAGGGTATGGGAGGCTGAGGGAAGAGTGGAGGCTAGGAAGGGTATGGTGGGATAGGAAGGGTATGGGGGCTAGGAAGGGTATGGAGGGCTAGGAAGGGTATGGGGGAAAGGGTAAGGTTCAAAAGGAAAAGTGAACATGAGCAGGGTAGGGAAGGGCATTGTGGTAGAACAGAGTAGGGCAGAGAGGGCAGGGCAGAGTACAATCTGAATAGGAGGGGACAGTGGGCAGGGTGAGGAAGGGGGGGGGGGTAGGATTCACTTGATACAGGCTCCATGGGGTACAGGGGGGTGAGGGTACACAGAGGCTCCAGTACTGTTAACCACAACTGATCATTAGACACCGTAAGAATGACGGTCAGTCCGAGAGATGAGATGAACCTTAACTTCATTCCTACTTCCTTCACAAATAAAGCCCAGCAATGATTAAGGATGGCCGATACAAGAGGCAGGATGATGTAGAAAAAAAAGGCAAAAATCTGTCTTCAATTGGTCGGTCGGTGTATCAGTTGGCAGCCCTGAAGCGGCATCCTGGCCAGTGATTGGCTAGAAGAGGAAAGACGTCATTAGGATCAGTTAGTGCAATGAGCAGCTCCGTCCCGCCCCGCCCCGCCTGACGAACTAACTCTCTCCAAGCTTTGTCTTAATTCTATTTTTTTTCTTATTCTGTCAATATTAGTGTGTGTATGTGTGTGTGTGTGTGTGTGTGTGTGCGTGTTAGTGGGTGCGTGTTAGCGGGTGCGTGTCGCTCTAACTTATTCTTGTTCCTTTCTCACAACCACCTCCCCTCCTTCCCCTTGCCCTCTTATTTATCCCCTCTCCCTTCCTTACCACCATCCGTTTGCTGGATTAGCCACCCCCCGTGTGATGAATTAGCCCCCTCCTTCTGTGATGGATTAGCCCCTCCCCGTGTGATGAATTAGCCCCTCCCCGTATGATGGATGAGTCCCTCCCCGTGTTAAGATATTAAAGGCGCGGCGGTTTTGATTACTTAGCTGCCGGTTAATTAAGGCGGCTTTTGATACATAATTCACGGGCCACTTCCTGGTGGTGCAGCAGCCAAGACACAACCCGTACTATCACCAACCTTCTAGAACACAACTTCCGAAATTGTTAATGTGGCCTTAATGAGGTCGTTGTTAATTACTGGCGGCGGCACAATGACCTCCAATGACCAAGGCTGCCGTTTCCAGACTTTGAGGTGGTGGGGGGTGGAGTGGTGAGGGGGGCGGAGGGTGGGGGGGTGGAGGGTGGGGGGCGGAGTGGTTGGGGGGGAGGGTGGGGGGAGGAGTGGTGGGGTGGAGGGTGAGGTGGGGGTGGAGTGGGGGTGGAGGGTGTGGAGGGTGGGGGGTGGGAGGGGGTGGGAGGGTGGGGCAGGGGGTGGGAGTGGTGGGGGTGGAGTGGTGGGGGAGAGGGTGGGGGTGGGGAGGGGTGAGGGGTAGGGAGGTGGGGGGGAGGGGTGGGGGTGGAGTGGGGGGTGGGAGGGTGGGGTGGAGGGTGGGGGTGGAGTGGTGGGGGGTGGGAGGGTGGGGTGGAGGGGTGGGAGGGGAAGGAGTGGTGGGGGTGGAGGGTGGGTGGGTGGTGGGGGTGGAGGGTGGGGGGTGGAGGGTGGGGTGGAGTGGTGAGGGGTGGTGGGGGGTGGAGTGGTGGGGTGGAGTGGTGGGGGGTGGAGGGTGGGGGGGGTGGGGGTGGAGGGTGGGGGGGTGGGGAGGGTGGGGTGGAGGGTGGGGTGGGTGGTGGGGGTGGAGTGGTGGGGGTGGGTGGTGGGGTGGAGTGGTGGGGGGTGGGTGGAGGGTGGGGGGTGGAGGGTGGGGGGTGGAGTGGTGGGGGTGGAGTGTGGGGGGTGAGTGGAGGGTGGGGGTGGAGTGGTGGGGGTGGAGTGGTGGGGGGTGGAGTGGTGGGGGTGGAGTGGTGGGGGAACGGTTATTGGTTGCCTTTAAGCGTCTCAGCCTTGGGTTTCAAAGGCCCGAAAGCGCTTGTCTTGAAGCGTTGTTTTTATAGACTCAAGGCTGTCAGTGTCCACTCTTAAGGTTCTACTAACAAAGCTGTGTCGTTGTCTTGGTTTTAAATAGATTTTTTTCTGGTTGGAATCGTCGTCTATACATGAGCCTCCAATTATTGTATAAAGGTGAGAAGGGTGAGTCTGTGTGTGAAGTGAAAGGTGACAGCTTGACGGCAGGTCAACACAGTAAGCTTACCTACTGTACAATGGGTCACACACACACACACACACCTGTGATAGCAGGTCAACACCGTAACCTTACCTACTGAACACTGAACATAAGAACATAAGAATGGAGGAAACTGCAGCGGGCCTATTGGCCCATACTGGGCAGTCCCGTTTACACCCAACCCCTATTGCTCATATAAGCATCCAACCTATGTTTGAAGCTATTCAGCGTATTCGAGTTAATGATGATATTTGGTAACTTGTTCCATTCATCCACTACTCTGTTTCCAAACCAGTGTTTACCTATTTCACGCCGAAATCTAAATTTGTCTAATTTAAAACCATTGTTACGAGTTCGCTCCTGGTTGGATAGTTTGAGTACCTTTGTAATGTCCCCTTTGTTTAGCCCTGACTTCCACTTAAACACCTCTAGCAGGTCGCCCCTTGCTCTACGTCTCTCGAGGGAG